ACGCCTCTCAGAGTTGGTAAGACGCCTCTCAGAGTTGGTAAGACAACTCCCACCTGTTCATGCTCTCTGTATGTGTGTATATATATCTCCTCAATATATGTTCCATTCTATATGCATCCGAAGAAGTGGGCTGTAGTCCATGAAAGCTTATGCGCTAATAAATTTGTTAGTCTCTAAGGTGCCACAAGTACTCCTGTTCTTGTTCCATTCTATGCATCCGAAGAAGTGGGCTGTAGCCCATGAAAGCTTATGCTCAAATAAATGTGTTAGTCTCTAAGGTGCCACAAGTACTCCTGTTCTTTTTATAGGTAAATCACGTTCTCCTCCTTTTACAGATATGTAAATAGCATCCATGCACCAGAGTTGCCCCAAAAAACAACACTACAGGTTAAACACAAGTCAGCTGCAGTGTGTAACTTTATTTATCTGCTTTAAACTTTTTGTTTCAAATGATGCCTTGAATGTTTTTGTTGCTTTACTCTTGTTTCGGTCTCTGGCTGTCTTTGTTAACTGGGCGTCAGAATTGCTCCCCAGACTCCGGATGGCTGGCAACAGCGAAAAGCATATGGGGAAACTGGAAGTGAAGCGATGTTGTTTTCTTGAAGTAAAAAATTAGGGTTGTGGTGAAACCTTTGAGAAGCACCCCATCTGTTACCACAGGCTGGAGCTGTAGATTAATTATTCTCTTTTGTGTTGATAATCAGACAACATAAATGAATGTCAAACACTAATGAAACATGCATTTCATAACTACACTGTTTACTGAATATGGGGCTAGAGGGTACACTACAGCTCTGGGGGATTTATAGTTGGTTTAGAAGCAGATTGCAGTTCAGCTCCCAGAACGGCTGTTTGTGGATCTCTTTCATTTACTCTGATCTGCAATCACAAGAGGTAGAGACCAAGTTTAAACCTGGAACTCAGGCCTGGACTATTTGACAATGTATTTAAAAAAATCAAAGACTGGGACCCTTCCGAGCAAGACTTTTAGAGTAATAACTTGCTGCTACAAAATAAGAAAGAACACTTTCTTTTTCAATGTCTGCTGGCATCACCACTGTTAACTTCCGTCTCAATATGAATATTTCACAGAATGGAGGGGTTTTTTCCTCCAGCAAATTCGGGCCAGATTTTTAAAGATATTTAGCTACTCAGGTGCTTCTGAAACTCCCACTAGATTCTTATCTGCATCTTTAGGCACCTAAATACCTTTAAAATCTGTCCCTTAGGCCCAAATCCTCCAAGATATGTATAAAGAAGAACAGGAGTACTTGTGGCACCTTAGAGACTAACAAATTTATTTAGTCTCTAAGGTGCCACAAGTACTCCTGTTCTTCTTTTTGCGGATACAGACTAACACGGCTGCTACTCTGAAACCTGTCAAGATATGTATGAATCTCACTCCCTTTGCTGATCTGGAGTTTGTAAAAAGCTATCTAAGATGTTCTTTTGCTCAAAGTGAATGTTAATGACACTCGTTCACAGTTTCTTGCTAAACTCATCTAGACACTCATTTCTTCTAAATTCTATAGCCTCTTCCCTCCAATCACTGTTCATTACACTGAATACTCATTCCACAGGATTGCTTTTTCCTGATAAAAACATAGAATTTCTACATCTCTCATGGACTTAAAGGCCCCCAACACATTTTCTTTGTAAGATAACTACAAAATGTTTATTCCAAGTGTATTTTAAATAGAAATTGCTAAGTGGGCTAGTACTTTGGCATGCTTTTCCCTTATGTTCTTCCTCCTTATGCAATAATCTCTCTGGTATCATTGAAGAGAGTGTTGTGAGAACCATGCACAATGCTTTTTTCACTGTTCTTCCTTTTTCAGGAGAGTTTTGCAAAGAAGAAGTGACATTGGATGAAATCTTGAAGTCAATGGGACCTTTGCCATTGACTTCAGTGGGTCCAGGATTTCATCACGTGTTTTGCTGCTTTAGCATTATTGCAAGATATAGAATGCTGGCACTCATTGGCTGGTGATGGGAACGTGGGTCATGGATGGGATGAGCTCCATGGAGCTGCTCCTCCTCCTCCCATGAATGTGGGTGGATCCAGGTTTCTTCCTCCCCAAGGTGCTAACCAGCATATCTGAGCCAACCAGGTGTAGATCTGACACAAATTACTTTTACCTGGAACCAGACTGTGACTGAGTCTGCTCCTGGGGCAGTGTAATGACATGGTGCCGTGCCCCTCACACAGGGCTGGTGGCAAAGCCACACGCTAGCTCTATACACTAGGAGCCCAGATTCTATGGTGATGAGGATCATATAAGTGAGATAAATTAATATTTAGATACACAGGAGCAGAGTCTGATGCCGAGTACCCCCCATGATAATGGAGGCAACAGAGACACTCAAGATTTACATCCACGTACCTGAGATTAGGATCTGGCCCCCACAAACATGCTTTGGGATTCTCCAGGATATACACGTGTAAGCAGCTGTGATTAATGGAGGGAACAGCTCGAAGAGAAAACTGTGTTTAAAAGTCATTAAGTGACCAAATGACGGATGTTACCTACAAGCCAATAAAAGATAATGCGCTGATCACAGAGGTAATGGGCTCAGGCCTCCCTAGTACAAAATCTAAGAACACTTATATAAATCCAAACTGCAATCAGCTGATGGGCTGGAATTAGACAAGAACAACTGGGAAGATTCATAAAGGGAACCAGATGGGGAGCTCACAGAAGGAACCAGAAGTGCCAACTTTCTCATTTCCCTGGGGGTGCTCAACCCCCGCTCCGGCCCAGGCGCCACCCCCACTCCACCC